ATAAAGTACTAATATTATTATTATGTACTCTTCTCCTGGTGGCTTGTTTATAGAGCTTTATGTGTTGCTCCAAGTGGGGTGATGTAGTTGTGTTTCTCTTTACTGTGTTTGCTAAGCTTGGATTGTGTTATTCTTCTTCTCTAAAAATTACCAAAAAAGGAAATTTTTAGAAAAATAATAGATCAGCCTACATAATTTCAAATTGTAATATAATATAATAAACAATAGTATAATATTGTATATAGTCCTGAATTGTATTAAAACAATATGAATATTTTTATTTAAATATTTCTTTAATTTAATATTCTTTTCTAATACCTAAAATGTCTAAACAAAAAAAATCAACTGGACATGCTTTTTACAAAAAATAGTTGCCTTCACCTTCGCAACCTTCACAACTTTTCCTGTTATCACAAACTTCTTTTGTATCAATTGTATCAAAAGTAGCAACAGTTCATTCAATAACACCTGGTGCCAAATCTTCAATCCCTACTATAACTGTCAAATTGCTTAGAAAAAAGCTATCTATTATATTATCTAAAATATTGGTATCTGAAGTTATACAAATATCAATGCTGGAAGTTGAATTGTTATCCAAAACTCGAATTAGAAAGAATATTGAAAAAGGTTTGAATTAAATTATTGTTGAATTATTAAAATTTACCTTTATTAACCAAACAATTTATTTAGAAAATGAAAAATTATATATACAGGTCAAAAAACTAAAAAAAAAAAATGTTGAATTTGTAAAACAATTATTAGATCTAATAAAATCTATTAATAACAAGTTTTCAAAGAATAAAAATAGCAAAAAAATGAAATATAAGATTTAAAAAAGGAAATTGATCAGCTCAAATCTATAGAACCTGAACTTGATCCTATAGTTATAAAATCTATCAGAATCTAAAAGCTTGCTGAGTTTAGAAAAACATTGAAGAATTCAATCTAAGAGAAGTAATAAAAAGGTAAAATCAATAAAATCGGTTATCAAAAATGAGCTGAAACCAGAAAAAGTAAAACAAAAATGAAGGCCTTAATGAAAACCATTCTTGACAAATATAAACTGAGAGTAAACAAAGTTTTTTTGAGTAATATGAATAAAAAAATATTATAAAAGTTAATACTTGAATTAATAAAATTTATAGTCTTATGTTTTTATTCCTCATGAAAGTAAATAAACAAATAGTTATATACTTTACATTGCCATTAGAGAGGAAGATATTGGAAGGTAGAAACTGGAAAACTGAAAGTAAATAATCATTACTTATATACAAATAGCTGGTTAAACAAAATAAGATTAATAATATTTTATATTTATACTATCTTCAAGTATTAATTTTTAACAAATAATTAAAGAAAAGAGTATGAAGAATTAAAAGCACACAGTCAATGGTCAAAGAAAGTTGTTAAATATTAGAATAAATTAACTGATATAATTAAAGAAACAAAGGTACATTTACCTGAAGAAAGTGAGACTAATCCAGGAAACTCCATAAAAATAAGAATAAATATATATTATTATAGTTAATATTCTGAAGAGATATTTTTTGACAAAATATTTTATATCAATATTAATCATAATTACTTATAGTTAAAGGATTTGTTAAAACATTTGGATAAACATTTGAAATCAATTCAAGCTTTTCAGTCAACTCATAAATAATATCATATCAATTTATATTTCTATAATATGATATTATCAGAAGACTTATCAAATTGAATAATAGTTTGTAAGAAATTTCAGAATATAAACAAGAAAAAGAGATAGGAAAAGATAAAAAATTAATAGTTAAATCCAAAAGACAAAAAATTATTAAATATGAGAAATCATTAATGTATTCAAAGGGTAAGGAACAAACTAGGGAAAGTGCATGAATAAGTAAAATTTGGAGCAGTTAGGTTAGAAGAAAAAAGTAAAAAATCTTGAAAAACATTTGACAAGGTAAAATCAATTGGGATTAATTTTAAAAAAGTCAAGCCAAAATCTTTAAAGGAAAAAGAAAAATAAGTAAAAAAGGAGAAAAAAAAAGAAGAGAAAAATAATGAATAATTTACTCAATTAATCTTTTAATTTTTTAATAAATTTCATAAAATTTGAATTTTTTGTCACTAATTTTTTTTCCAAATTTTTTGCCACAGTATCAATTTTTTTGTCAAATTTTTTATTGCACAGTATGTGATATTTTTTTGTCAATATTTTTAATATCAAGTGACAGCAATCATAAATAATTCATCAATTTTTTTATTATTAATTTTTGCCAAATTCAGCAATAATTTGACAGCCGAATGACATAATTCATCTAGTATTTATTAGAGAATTGAACAAAGATTATTTATTAACAATAAAATAGTTTTTTATTGTAATTCACAAATATATAAACATAAATAATACAAAATATAGCTTTTTAGAATTGACTATATTGGAAATTTTAAGAATAAGGTAATGTGCTATCCGTATGCATTCTGATATTTAAAATTTTGATTTACACTCATTTAAAGAATAATGGACACACCACGTTGAGTGACCTTATTTTTCTCGGAAGGTTTTGCGTTTGCATTAATAATAAAAAGCAAATCACTTCGATCTTCATTAAGGTAAACTGGAAGGTTTATGGTTGTGTCAGTGACGGGAGCGGACCTAGTTAATAACCGATAATGTTAATATAATGCAGCGCGATCTTTAAATACAAAGCATGTAAAAATGGAAGAACATACTTTGACTTAAGAACCCATCTGATTTGTGAAAACTCTAGTTTGTTTAACGGATTTGTGTCAAGTTTAATTTCGTTGTCTTTAAAAATTGCACCTGGAAATATTTAACAAATAGTTTAGTAAATAACAATTTGCCAAATAATGCCGTCAAAAAAAAAAAAAAGGTCTGAATTAATACAAACCCGCTAGTTTAAGTCCTAATATTGCAGAGGGAAAAATGAACATGAGCTGTTGTATTCACGTGAAAACAGTAAATATCATCATATAATTACCAGAGACTGTAAAGGAATCAGGATCTCCATATTTGTTCAAATCAATTTCCAGAGCCAGTTCTTCCAACGACCATTTATGTGCTTGAGCTACTGATTGACGTGTAGCAGTGACATATGCTTCTGGCATGAAAAGTCCACCAAGCCAAACTTGTACGCTTGAAAAATCGACCTCTTTAGTGATGCCTTCAATTTGCTGTAAGCGACTCTTAAAGTCAGCAATCCAATGATTAAGAGAAATTGTTTTAGGGATCTTGTATTTTTTCCAATGATCCGGTATAATTCCTTTATGTAATAGAACTCTTTAATTTATTTTTCCAAGAGAAATCATAAAATTGATAAAAGCATGATTGGATATACTGACCTTTGGTCAAGCAATTAAGTAGCATACGCAAATGATTGGTTTGTTTTAGTTCACCATCGCACACTTTCTTTATGTCTTCTAAATCCTGGCGAATCTTCTTAAGCAGACTACGACCGATTGAGTTTTCACGATCAAAGAATCGGAACAAGGGATTCTTGATACTTTCTGGTGTGCGGTTCATTTGTGGGATTTTCTAAAATTCCAAAACTTTAATATAAAAACGAATATTTTTTACATGATAAGTAAATAAATCAAGAAAATTGAATAACCTCTGGCAAGGCCTTTAGCCAATTGTCGACAGTAGTGTACCTATCCGAATTAATAGGTGTTAGAATGTAATGGCTCCGTAAAACTATGCTAATTGAATACATACAAGACACGCATCCATGCTGGTTGCGCTGAGGTTTGTTTTCCTGAATCCTGAGAATGTTCGGCTTCATCATCATCGGCCAAGCTCTTCATTTTTCTAATTTTAACGAGCATTGCATAACCTAAGTAGTATCAAGAACGATTAAAGACATATTTATGCCGAAAATCAAAACAAAATAAATGTATACTATATTAGATATGTCACGGTACCTTTTGACGTAGCCAAGACCTTTTCTGCGTTGCCTGGTAAACCTAACCATATAGGGGGTTCACGCTCCGGTAAGTTATTAACCCAGTCCATGAAGTTAACCATTTTATTTCCTTCAGGTATAATCAAATTGTTGGAGCTGGAGTCGACGAGAGGGAATTCCAAATCGTATGCAGCGGGGGTGAACAATCCATTCACAAATGACTCCAGGAGACGTTTGTCAAATTCATTATCGATACGGCCTCCGTATCCCGCCACACAGATTAATGTGCGAATGGCCTCCCAAGGAATTTTATCGGGAGCAATATTAGACCTGCCCTGAGCGACTGAATCCAACCATGCGTCAATGGTATTGATTGCAAAGTCTTGATCGGAATCGTTAAACTCATAAATTTTTGTCCAACCCAAAGGTACATAACGTAGACGTTCTTGGACGACTGCGTGCAACCACGAAAGCATGAAGTAAAGACGAACACGTTCGGTAGGTCCCTTTGCGAGGCGGCTAGGAGCAATGCTCTTGAGAGAGTCGAAGAGATTAGCCTTAATACCTGGTGGAGGTTCGAAGAGAAGAACTTTTTGCAAGCAAAAGTAATTAAAAATGTTTAGGCATTAGTTAGTCTGAATTAAAAAAATTTTTTTATTTGAAATGTGAAATAAAATTTTTTACATACTTCGACTCATTCTTAGCAGGTTAACAGGGACCTTTGGATTTGTTTCCATGGTTAAGAATAGTCGGAAGTTTGAGTGCGGTTTCATGCTATGCAATTTCTTTTCTAATTGGCCAAGCCAAGAAGGAGCGAGATGGACGTTTTTCAATAGCACCCAATTGCCATTCTTGATTGATGCGGCAATAGCTTGATCGGCCAAGTTGAATCCTTCTTGCGATCCCATGGCTACAGACGTGCAACGAACATTAATTTCGTCCACCAGGTTCTCGACACGATAACTAGCATCATATCCGGGTACGGAGCAGAGCGCGATAGGAGTGGTAGGATGAACTTCGTCTAAAACTAATGCTTTTAAGTCTAACTCTGACTGGTTTAAGAAATTCGGATCGATTGACTTGGAAACAAGCTCCGAAGCCGATGAAATTAGTCTGTCGGGACGGAAGCATTTCACCAATAACGTCTTGCGCAATTGTATAACAGTGGCTATTTTTCAATGAAGAAAATTTGAGTTTAGCATTTTCAAAGGAGTTAAAGAACAGACTACAGGAAATGCTACACTTACCGGGTAATGAGCCTTCCCAACATTCTGGTACGTATTTCTCCGCGTTATCTGATTCTATAAAATCTTTCCATTCATCGGTGTCGTTGGAAATCTTCCTGGTGAGATCGGAGAAACATGGAAGATTTGAGAATTCCTTAATCTTGCAAAGTTGCTCATTATCAAAGAGGCCATCACTTAATCCCAATTCTCTCGCTGAAACCTTTGATCCCGGTACGACATCACCACCACTTAATAAGAAATCGAATTCCGCTTCATCCACCTGATCGGTGGAACCACGAATGTTTATTTGTGACAGTAAAATTGCGAACGTAATATGATCTTCGTGTAAGAGTGCTCGTGATACGCGACGGAAAGTTACAAAGAACAAGTCACGCTTAAGAATTCTCAACCTTTCCGCAATGTCGGTGACATCTTGAAGGTTTGGATTGCCGTGAAGGATGTATTGGAAAATCTCATAAAAGAATTCGAGTGAGAACTGATAGAAGTGGTGTAATAAGTTCATCTGTTCCATCACGAAGAAAACCGAACTACAAGCTTGAGCCAAAGGAGTATATTGGGCGGTGACTTGCTCAACCTCTTGCATAATGCTATCAGTTTCTTCCACTTGGCGAGTGACATCGGCGGCCTCCTTCTTTAATGTTTCTAGTGTATCCAAAACCTTTGTGTCATCTAAAATATTTCCTTTGGATTCATTTAAGGCTTGCAACAATGCTTTTTCAAGATGACGTAGTTTCAATTTGAATTCGCCTTGGAGTTTGATGAGGTCCGTTCGTTTCTTGTCAGTATCAGGTCTTTCCACTTTTAGTACATGATTAAGGCATTGACTTTGTAAACTGCCACGAGTTACCGTAAAGTTCACAAATGTCACACGAGAACAAACATCGGGAGGGAAGTTTACAGATGGATCGCGCGTCGAAAGATAAAGCGTGAATGACGGGGAGAAATCGATATCTTGACCTCCCAATCGGATTAATACACGGCCACCAGTACGACGCAATTCCTTATTAAGCACGGCATTTAAAATAGGATCGAGGTGCTCGACGTCCTGAATGAGTAACGGATTTCCGAAACGAAGTGCACTTTCCAAGTTCTTTATGAAAGAATCGTCCAAGAAACTTGTGACAGTGATCTTTTTACTCTTGTACTCATTCATCAGGAACGCGGTTGCCTGACCAGATGGGTCGATGATCAGAGGGTACCTGTTGAAACGTTTAAGCATAATAGCATTCTCGGTGCAAAGGTCATCTGCCGGAAGTGAGTTCGCCTGCCAAGATAGACGATCATCGGCCGATGATAGATATTCTGTTAACGATATTTCCTGTTTAAATTGAATGAGTGCATTTACAAGATGGTTCGTCCATTTGTATAGCAAGATCTCACGATATTGTTGATCAAAGTATCCTCCATAAGCAAGGAACGCCGCTGAAAGTAGAACATCGCCAACTATTGTTCCCATTTGCGTTTCAAACGCTTGACTTCCCGATTCCCATCTTTCCTTTTCAGATGATAAGCTTGATAGAAGGGTCAAACTTCGATCGACTTTATTCTTAACGCTCAACATATCTTGTTTAATGTTTTCTTTTTGACTAATCAAAGTTCCATACTCTTCTTTATAAACTGCTATCTTGTTTTCTAAATCTTCAATCATTCGTTCAAGACTGGTGGCTTTTAGCTTCATTTCTTCTAGCTGATTTTGCAGTTCGTTCACCTCATTACGCAACGGACCAACCCTATCCAAGATCTCCGAGTATTGAACTTGTGCGATCACCCATTTGACCAATGGACCACAAGCCTTACTTGCCCTGTTGACCAATTCGTAGTTGTATTGCGGCTTGTTGAGATAATCGTTCTTCATTTTTTCTCGCATTGGTTTGGTCATTCGGGCGTCAGTGTCGAATTGAACGATGCTAGTAATGAAATCATCCTTTTTTATGATCGCCTGAACCATCCTCCAAGTATCCGCTGGATGACCGAGCAATACACACACCGAACTCTAGATACCGCATCATGTGAAAAACAATTGACGATTAAAAGATTTTTGGGAGCGAAAAACTAAAAATTTTACTTACCATTGCCATTTTCACGGGCTCGGGAGGGTTAGCCATAGAACGTACTTCCGTAAGATGCTTTCTGTTAATACCTTGCACACTCCTTTTAGCTTCTTCAACTGCTGGTTCCGCATTGGCCAGGTCTTTTAACACAACGGATCGACGTTCGTCGATTAAACTTGTTTGAACTTTAAGAGACTCCTGAAGTTCTTCGGACGCAACTTTTTGTTGTTCTGCCTCCCTTTGATCGGCAACCATCTTCTTCAATTTCTCATTAGCTTCGATTTCTTTTGCTGCAAGTTCAGCATTTTTGATGTCCAGACTTTTACGAAGTTCATCAACGGTGATGACTGTTTCCCTCAACTTGTCTAGACCGACATTTAAATGACGTTGTTGTTCTTCGAGATCTTCCCGTTTCTCATTGAACAAACGCACGTAATGATTAATAAAGTCTAGATAGTGACGTGGAGTCACATAGTTATAGCGACCCTGTCTTTTACTCAACTTAGCGTTAATTTCATAAAGACCTAGGGTAAAAAATTAAATATTAATTAAGAGATTAAAGTACACGACCAAAAATAATATGAATAATATTACTTTGATGCACATAGACAAAAGCATTAACGACAGCAGATCGATGTGAAGGTTGTGGTGGCAGACCACGATAAGCTGTAGGAAATTGTGACGGAGGACTGTACAAAGTCATTTAATGAGACGTCAAATTCAAACAAATGAAAAAAAAAAAGAAGTAAAAGGAAGAAAGGAAAACCAACATACTTGTAAGATGTTCGATCCAAGTCCAAATTTTGAGTAAATTCCATTCCGACTTGGAAGAAAGCCTGGTCGGACCAATCACCAAACCAGTCCAAAACACAACGATTGAACAAGGCTGGCGATGTGGCAGCTCGGGAAGCAAGGCCACCCTCGGGCGGGTTCATGGTGAATACGACGTGGAGATTTTTCATGACTTGTTGCGTGAACCATTTGTACAATTCCTCAGGAGAATCCAACATTAAACCATCCCTTTGGGCACCCTCTTTACAACTTGTCATCAAGGTACTATACTCATCTCCCTCAAAGAGACCAGGAACTTCTGCATTTGCAAGTAGAGTGTTCATGCGTTCGAGAAAACCGGAATCAAGAACATTAGATTCATCCATGACGAAGCAGATCTTTTCTCCCTTACAACCCGCCCTTCTTAAAACTGTTCTTAGATCTTCATCGAAGTCATCACCAGTGTATTTATTGTGAGCCTTAATTTGGAAGACGTTTAAGCCGTTCATCCAAGCAACAAATCTAGAGAGCGTAGTTTTTCCTGAACCACTAACACCGATCAAAAGTAAATGTCCCTGCATTTGCCTGAACACGCGATCTATGCGAAGTACGTGATCCAAGACATCGTTGAACAATACCAATGGAACATCCAGTTCTTCTTCGTAGAAAACTTTAAGGCGAGCTTTTACGTATTCACGCAATTCCTCGCGTTCCACCGGAATATACGTCTTGTTCAGCCAGTTGGAGAATAGAATTGGACGTCCTAAAGCCTCGCTTTGATTTAAATTAGGGAAATGTTTCATTGCTATAGCGTCAATGGTATCATCGGTCCATTTTCTTTCTTCTTCAGTGACAAGACGATCTTGGAATAATCGCAAAGCTTCATGCGCCCAAATACGAACTAATCCCTCGAGAGAGAGCGTCTCCATAGGTTTAATGGCCTCAAATATACCCCTCATCCATCGAGTCAGTTCACGAGGGGAGTAGATATAGTGTGCTTGAATGTCTGGAGTAAAGCGTTTTTGTGACATCAGATAAAGATCCACCATTGCTGCGGTAAGTGGTTCGGCATAAGCTCGAAGCGCAGGAACAACTTTAAGCATAGCCCGAGAGAAGGTGCCGTAAATTTGATTAAGAGAGATTTCACCAGGGTAATCTACCATAACCAGCGGGGAGTGACGAAGGAATCGATGAGTCAATGGAACTCGGCCAGGATCAGTTGGAGGATTGCAGGCACCAACGAATTGAATGCGTTCTAGTTTAACCCATGATTTATCACTGGCTCTCCAATAACCATTATATTCGACCAACTGCCTTAAAAATGAGATCACGCGTTGAGTGCCGTACTGATCGCAGGCAGGCAAATTGATTTCGTCACAAAATACCACAATCCAACGACCAATAGAATTTGGCGACAGGATAACCCCATTTGGTGTTTTACGGTATTCACAGTATTGTTCGAAGGTTTTGAGAATCAATTCGGGGGTGGTGGCACTGGAGAAATTGAGGCCTACTACCTCCATGTCGGGTAGTTTTCTTAGGGCGCTAAATAGTGTCATTGTTTTACCGGAACCTGGCGGACCGCAGAGCATAAGAGGCTTGTGCTCAGAAAGCCAGGAGTACAGTACTTCTTCGTGACGTACTGTATCCACAGTAGGGACAACAACATCAGCTTCGGATACAGTGTGAGTTTCGATTTCAATTTTTGGAACTTTGTCAGTCCACGAAGTCCATTCACCATTATTAATTTGAACATCATAATCAATGACAGATGAGCCGGCTTGCGCGGGTGGTAGATCGATGGTAGTAATTCCACGAATGAAATCGCCTAGTTTCCCGCGGTAATCCAATTTAGCGTCTCCTGAAAAACTCCAGATAACACCAAGCACCAGGCGTTTTGTGACATAACCTTCCAAGTGGTCGGCGGACATGGGGAAATCAGGATGATTATTATTGTATTCAATCACATTGCGTACTGTCTTGTTCAACAAAGAGAATAAGGTGTTTAAGACACGCATGTGAGTGAAGTCCATAATGTGTTCCAATTTTTCGGCATAATAAATGGCTTTTGTGACAAATCCTTCGTCATTCATATGTCGACTAAGAATGGTGGCGATGTCTCGTTGTGTGTTAAGATGAGGAGAGACCGAATCATCCGACCCTTCAATTCTACGATTCGGAGATCCTTCTTCCTCGTTGTCGTCCAATGGCACGTTTTTCAGATTTTCCAAGTAATTGTGGTAGATCATTTTGAGTGTGACCACTTCCTACAAATTTTCAACAAATCTAAATTTTCGATGTCCAGCAAAATAATGAATTCACTAAAATGGATTAATACATACCGAAGAGAACCACACCATACCACAACGACTAACAGTGGCTAGAGTTGCGTATTTCAGGTTTTCCACCTCGAACATGATACGAACATTTCCCGGAAGACTAAGACGTTCTCCATTTGGCAAAGTAAGCAATCTATTATCATCCAACACGGAGTTCCTGCAAATAAAAATAAGTGTCATCAGTGTTAGCAACACGTTGGGAAGAAAACAAATTATCGTTTTATTTAATAATACTTACAAATTCTCCACCCACTCTGGATCGACATCTCCGTCAAAAATAATCCAATGCCTCTTAAGACTTTCTCCACGAACGTTATCAATTATCTTACGTAAAATATGGGTAAACAAACCGTCGGTCCACTCTCGAGTGGTTGGATCCAAAGTACCGTAGAGAGCGTCCTTGGAAACAGCCTTGGGATCTATTACATACGATACACCTTCGGTGCCTCCCACGCGTCCTAATGCTTCTAAGAGAACTTGCCATGCAAGCGATTTACCTGAATATATGATAATAAATGTTGTAGCAAATCACCTTTAGTTCACAATAACCGGGAATTCAGACAAAACATACCGGAACCCGAAGGTCCAACCATCATGAGACCGTGATGTATGTTTTGAATTTGATAGAGTTGAAGGACTTTTTCCATCCACATTTCACCATGAATCCTGGCTACGCCGGGCGTTCTAATTTACCC